AACAACCTCGTGTAAGCTCAACAATATTAACACAATGTTTAACGTTTTGTTTTCTGCCTTCAATAATTTTCATGGCAGGTTACTAAGCGAAATACAACCACAACGTTGCTGAGATATTTGCAAAACTCTGGACCGCAGGTGTCTATGATGGGGAACGAACGCGCTATTATCCTTTCCTGGGAGTAACGCGTTCACCACCACACCATGCGCGTCCTTCGTTTCGCCTGTCTCTAAGCTGTTTCTATCGATCTTTGCCACAGCAATCACCCATCAGCGGGCTGATCTGGGGAGCGCAAATCGGCATAGAACCCAGTTAAGCTATGGCTGTAGTTGAAATCACAATGTTTAACGTTTTGTGTTTTCTGCCTTCTATAATTTTCATGGCAGGTTACTAAGCGAATTACAACCACAACGTTGCTGAGATATTTGCAAAACTCTGGACCGATTTCATGGCAGGTTACTAAGCGAAATACAACCACGATATTAACACATGTTGATAATTCACAAACAATCTACCAACAAACAATCTCGTGATACACCTTCACAGCTATTTTTAGCATACACTTTTGATGCATACTATACTCTTTCGAACAGTTTACCGCCTCATCGTAGCTAGGAGGTGTTCCTGAGTGTCGGGCTGCGATGTACAGCGGGAGAATTCATCCTCTTGCAGCGTCTCTCAAGCCGAGGAGTCCGGCGTTTCCATCAGGAAGCCTAGCTAAGAGCAAACCAATGCTAGGATCCGCCACCGTCCTGGCATCAAAGTCGCATGGTGGCAAATCTCCCTCTGATCCATAAGGTCGGGTGAAGACCTGGGGCAGACTTTAGCCAGGCTGACCTCAGGATTCCAGGAAACTACAATGGCTTAACCAGCAAATCTCCGAATAATAGAGATTATATTGTGACCCGCACAACCAGCGAGCACGGGCCTTCCAAGTAACAAGTAACTATACTGTACTAAACCGACTTTCACTTGACTTCGGTATGAATGATCAACAAATTTCTTTGGATTTTGCCAAGAACTCAAAGGACAGCGCTCTGAGGTTGCCCTTGCCCCATTCAACCGGTGATCCACTGAAGAAGATCAGAATTGGTAGGACGACGAAGACGACGCATCGAGAAGAGGAACGACTGTGGACTATCGGCTCGAATCATCGGCTCTGAGGAAGATGAAGGCGTCGAAACGTTAGTCCAATAAACTTAATATTACAACATCGTGTAAGCTGAACAACCTAAAGAAATTTCAGGAGTTAATATTCCACTGTGCACTCAAACAACTAGCAGACAAACAACAGCTCACTTCCGACTTGCAAAGTATTGCAAGCAAACAGTGAACGAAGATCTTAAGGGGAGAAGGAAAACGCACCAAGTTAAAATAATCAGATATGTCCACAATCATGCAGAGATATTTGCAACACTCAGACCCCTTGACGACTGACTGTTGATATCACCGTTAGGGTAAAAAAAAACTGGCTGAGGAAAAGGCAAAACGACGGCCTCAGTGGTGCAGTGGTTAGCTTGTGACCCATCAAAAAGGTAACAGCGAATTCGAATCTGAACTAGGGTCAGAGTACTGTAAATATCTCAGCATTACTACAGGCTTATGTTTCACATAGCACCCTTCCATGAAAAAAATAGTAGGCAGTGGATAAAAGTTGCAGATTGTAACAAAAAATATATTGCACATTTATTTAGCGGTTCACTACTAGAGAAAACAAATACATTGAATCACACTCAACCAGGGTAAAATTTTATACCCGAAAGGCTATCACGTTCAAGTAATCACCGTGTCTCCAACGCTTCTACTAAAAGTTGTTATGTAGTTTCAAAAGCTAAGGAACTCCCACGACCGACTTTCTATTAACCTCGGTATTGATCAAGTAATTCTTCGTATTTTTGTTGAGCGGTGTTATTATTCTTTATTCACGAATAAGCTGACGTTTCGGCAGATTTCGCCTTCCTCAGAGCCTGGAAAGGTCAAGTTGATAGCAATCTCCATACCTCCCAGACGCCTCCCTAACCAAACAAAGAAACTCCAAATCAAGATTTCAATCACATTGAACACAGCTTTGCACACTCACCGCTTTCTATGAGGTTTCCAATAAGTATGTCACGTAGAGACCAACCGCACAGAAATCACGTGGAAGCGTAATGTGCCCCTACCATCAGAATAGCAGTCTTATATACTGCCCTATATTACACGTGATAATGAGGCATTCTTCCCTGCGGTTCATTTTCGGATTTCTGGAACTAATCCAGAATGCCTCGAGAGTTTTTCGCGCCTGTGTTCTTGATTCGCGTGCGAGGATCGTGACACATACTTCAAAGTCCTCCCCGTTATGTCTCTGGGTCCTATGCGTGCCTAGCGGGGTATTTGGTCTATGTTTGCCGGCTAGGTGTTCTTTTATGCGGACACAGAGGGGTCTGCCCGTTTCGCCAATGTATTCGTCACCGCACGTCTTACAGGAGATCAGATAGACTATACCCGAGCTCATGCAATCACTGTCTCTACCACTGGGGCAAATTATGCAATTTTGAGTTGCACATAGACGGTCATATAGGCGGTTACGAACTAGCTGGCGCTTAAGATTACTCGGTGGTATTTCACCTACGTTTACCGAATTCTCTAAACCCGCCCTTCTTAAGCAGCATTTTATAGCTGTACTTACATCATTTGAGGTGAAGGGTAGGATAAACGGGACGCTTCTGTCGCTAGAGTTGTCGTTTGGAGGCCTAGGATTTCCCTTACACCTATCCTGAGCTACACTTTCGTAGCCATTAGAAATGGCTATTTGCCGCGCCAAGTTCCGGGACTCCTCTCTCCGCTCTCCTTCCGTGCACACGTTGGTTGCTGTTCGAAACATGTTTCTTATAAGCGCCCTTTTCGTGTGAGAGGGGTGAGAGGAGAGGTAATGAACCAAGATGTTTTTACTACTAGGTTTTCGGTATCACTTTGTAATGTAGCCATTTTCTGATAGGTGAATTTGTACGTTCAAAAAGGAAGCCATTTTTTCTTTCGACTTTTCTCGGGTGAATTTGATATACTCTTACTGTGCGTTTAACAATTCGAAACATTTGTCCATTTCCTCTTGTGTTGAGCAAAGGACAAAGCGGTCATCTACATATCTACAGTAGAGTAGCGGCCCGAGATCAGTCACCGGTGCTTCCACCTTAGACATAAATGCAATGGCAAGGCTTGCAGCCAGTCGTTGTCCCATTGCCAACCCTCTTATTTGAGCGTAGTACTTTCCAGACAATCTGAAGATTGAGCAGCTCAGGCATTCTTTTAAGAGTGCCATCAGGTGCTCTATCTTGAAGCCATACATGTTTATTTCTCCTTCGTGTTGTGTAAGGAGTTCGAATATGGCTTGCATTGCAGAGTCATTCGACACGTTTGTGTAAAGGGCGGTAACGTCGAAGGACTCCATCACGGACGCGCTGTTATGACGAATACGTGCGGTGACGAATACACTGGCGAAACGGGCAGAACCCTCTGTGTCCACATAAAAGAACACCTAGCCGGCAAACATAGACCATATACCTCGCTAGGCACGCATAGGACCCAGAGACATAACGGGGAGGACTTTGAAGTATGTGTCACGATCCTCGCACGCGAATCAAGAACACAGGCGCGAAAAACTCTCGAGGCACTCTGGATTAATTCCAGAAAACCGAAAATGAACCGCAGGGAAGAATGCCTCATTATCACGCGTGATATAGGGTAGTATATAAGACTGCTATTCTGATGGGAGAGGCACATTATACTTCCACGTGATTTCTGTGCGGTTGGTCTCTACGTGACATACTTATTGGAAACCTCATAGAAAGCGGTGAGTGTGCAAAGCTGTGTTCAAAGTGATTGAAATCTTGGTTTGGAGTTTCTTTGTTTGGTTAGGGAGGCGTCTGGGAGGTATGGAGATTGCTATCAACTTGACCTTTCCAGGCTCTGAGGAAGGAGAAATCCGCCGGAACGTCAGCTTATTCGTGAATAAAGAATAATAACACCTCGCGTTTGCTCAACAAAAATACGAAGAAAAGCACGGAGTTCGAATCCAAAGCAAATGCGATAGATTCCCTTATTCAATAAGACGAGAGTGGTGCTTAAAATAAAGCACAAAGTCCTGGCAGCTGTCCTCTCGTCAGCACTTGGGCGATGATGATGTGACACGATGCGACCGCGCTTTTTACCAAGACCACGTTGTTCTGCGCACTCGCGTGATATCGATCGTCCGATGGAGTGGACGCGGTGATAGGGACGACGGAGGCGACGACGTACGACTGAGCCATGAGACCTTTTGCGACGAAGTTGGTCTCTCCACAACTGATGATCATTTTTCGGTCAGGGAACTATTTGACGAGTTCAGTACTTTATATATCTCTAGAAGAGACTTCACCTATCCCAGCAGGCGTATATGTTCTTATAAAGTAATCCTTCAAATCTAAATATGTCAAGAATCAACATGTTTGTAATTTGTTGAGCTTACACGAGGTTGATAAATGTATCTATTTCGGCTAACGTTTCGACGTCTTCGTCTTCATCAGAGCCGATGATCCGTGTCGGTGGACCACAGTTGTTCGTTATCTCGATGTGGGTTTTCGTTGTCCTACCGAGACGGGATCTTCTTCAGCGAACACCGCACGAATGAGGCATGCACACCTGGCAATGTCCTATATTACTCCTAAACCAGCGAGTAGTGATGTCTTCCCTGTGCTACTTTGCGTTTCGATTCTGCCTCTTTGAGTGAATTAGCTGTTGTTAACGCTGTCATCGGAAAGCGCCTTCTATCACAGTGTGTTAATGGATCACATTGAAATTGCCTCCTCTTTGTCAGCTCATTCTGCTTTCTCAAATTTCTCTACAGAAGAGCGTTCACTTGTTTCTGAATAGTCAGCGTTCAAGAAATTTCACTGTTTTTGGGACCATTGTTCCGTACGGACCTCAATTTTTAGACCTTACAGGTTATTTGTTTCGCACTACTCGGTTGTAGATTGCGATCAGAATGAATCGTACATTACTCCAAGGAGTGCGAGTGATAGAAATGGCGGGCCTCGCACCAGTACCACATTGCGGAATGGTGCTTGCAGATTTTGGAGCTCATGTCACTCTCATTGAAAAGGTCCGTAACGCTTTGTATTTATTGACCTAAATTACAGAGTTAATTGATCGATAGCTTTGGAGAGGATAAGACTTGTCTATTGTCATTACCTTTTCCGGCCTCTGTGTGCAATGTACTGCAGTGGCGTCCATGTTCTCTCAGTTTAGCATCCATACCTTTCTTGCGTAAACACTGTTTGGTACAAGAATGAGCAAACTGATAAAAAAAATATTGACAGATAACAAGGAAACAAACGAGTAGGATGGCTCGACCGCCTTGATATGACAGACTCTACAAAATGGCATAATCATTTAATGCTTGTTCAGCCACATGATGCAGAAGGTATCGCCATAGAGCAACGAATGGCAAACAGGAAAACCGTACGCAGCTTAGACCTAAAATCACCTAAAGATCTTGATGTGCTGAGACAGCTCTGTCGAACCACTGATGTCCTTCTCGACCCCTATCGACCAGGAGTTTTGGAAAAAATCGGTCTCGATCCAGTGAAGCTTCTCAAAGTGAGTACTTCCGAGTTTCGTTCGAGTTTCTATTTTTATCTAATGCAGAAATCCTTCAAAGTTAGTGATCCTAAAATAAGAATGGTCTTTTGTGCGCTGGATCTCCTACTTTGTACTGTTTCCCACTCATTAGCTTCACCTTAGAAATGTTTCTTACATTTTCTTCTTCATAATGAATAGAATTCTTTCGTCTCTTAGAGAGGAGGCGGAACATGTGTGGGTGGATCAACTCATTGAAGAAACAGGCTTGAATTCGAACAGTTGTGTTCAATACTAACAAGCCTTCCTGAGTATGAAAATCTGGTCTGCAACAATATTTTTACATCAATTAGGACTTGTTCTGTAATTCAAATGACTTGATGTATCGTTGATGGAGAAATTCTGCAATAGCGTCAGAGTGTCTGCATTTCTCCTTACGACGGATTATGGTATTTCCAACATAAGTCTGACGTATTACGGTATTAATTGCAGGAGTTTCTATTGACGCAATGGGGAAACAGTCGCACAGTATCTTGCACAGGTCCTTTTGAGCGATTTGTTTTGTTATACAGGGGTTTTTTAGCCCAATTTTTTAAATCGATTGATAAGTTCTCCAGCAAATATCTTACTTCAGGCGTCATCCATGAATAATTGTTCTGTTAATAATTTACAAAGAACCTTTTCTGGATGAGTTCATTTTGCGAGAGAGGATATTACTGTTGAAGAGAGTAGGCAGCATAGAGATTATAGCCGATCAGCAGGCTCAGAAATGCCTGTACTTCGACACTGTAGTTTGACACTTCGGGAGACGAGGAAGAGCTTTTCCCTTGATAAGGCGATAAATCATTGAGAAGACTTCGCCAGAGTGGTTCATCGTTCACAGAGTGCTTATCGAAAGAACTCGACACAGTTTGGCTTTAGGAACAGTCAATAGGTCTTACTACACTTCTGCTTTGCTTTTTTAAGCGTCCAATTTACAATTTATACATATATGCCATGCATTTGTATATATATATATATATATATAAATATATATATTCTAGATGAAAAGTGTCCAACACAATCTTAACCCTTTTATTTACTGCCTTTTTCTTTTTAATGGCAGGGTATGTTGCGAAATATAACTCGTATATAATGCTGAGATATTTGCAAAACTCCGGACCGCAGGTGTATGCGGTGGGGAACGAACACGTGCTGGTGTCCATACCGGGGAGCAGCGCACTTCACCACTACACCATCCGGGTCCTTCGTTTTGCCTGTCTCTCAGCTAGTTCTATCGATATTTTTTGCCATCAGCAATCACATGTCAACGGGATTGATCTGGGGAGCCCAAATCGGCATTGAATGCTATGATTGTGTTGAACTAGTAATCATCCTCTATCCATCTTCCATTCGCGACGGCTTGTTTTAAAATCGGTTTCTGTTTTTCCTACATCTGAATATATGATGAGGCTTTCTACAGTATGACTTCAGCCAAATGAAAACTGGTGTGCCAATTGTCGGTCGAGAGATGCGTCCGTTCATTTCGAAAATTGCGCATAAGCTTCATCTGCATATATTGTGCTTTATCTCCAGTAATGGAGGGATGGCTAAATACCAAAACTTTGCAAGTGTATCCATCTCTTGAGCGCATTTCGAATAACTACTGTACTTGTGCCTATAATATTCGATATATTGACAGAAGGCACGTGGGATTCGTCAGTAAACAGGAGCTCTCCAGGCCTGTATATTTTGCCGTGGTTCCTCTTGCTAAGCTCGATTATCAGCCTAGTTTTGCGTAATCTGTAATCTTGGTCACATCTTATGTTATCAGCAAAGTAGAGCTTTGCTAACGAAGGGTTAAATCTGTCGGTTGTTATAGCAGATACTCATACAGGATAACGTTTTATACATATCTGAAGGCAGTTACACATTTCAACAAGCATACACCTCATAATGAACTTCATTGATCGAAGTAAAAGATATGAGGATTCGGTGATTTTCGGCAATTAGACACTTGTCTTCTTTTCCCTACCAGGACCTTTTTCTTCGATGTTTAATCCCCAACTAAAAGATTTTAAAATTGCGAAAATAAGCTGTTATCATCGGACAAACACCATCAGCAGCAAACATCCTGTACAAAAGAGCACCGTAATGTGAGGTAACTTCATACGTGCGGGGCTCCACTGAAGATGGTCGGACTCGATAAGACAACGAAGAGACCACATCGAAAGTACGACGAGCGACTGTGGGCATTGATTCGGATCATCAGCTCTGAGGAAGGAGTTCATTTATCAACCTCACGTTAGCCTATCAATGAAAGAGTACATGTTGATTAACAAGAAAAAAATGAATAACTAGATTTCAAATAGACTTAGAATGAACACTACACTCTCGAATAGTAACTGCATTCCCTTAAAGCAATAGTGCAAAATCACCTGTCGCCTGTATCACCTGTAGTCTCGTCGATCGTCGAGTGACTGGAGCGGGCGCCACTAAATCTTCCATTTTTCCCTGTCGCGTGCAAGAGTAGCCCAGTGGGTTCTGCTCGCTCTAGAGATTCGTCGCGCATCATATTTTTCTTCAAGACTCTTTGTGAAGAACTCTGACCATCGAGTCGGTGGCCTTCCTGCATCACTTCTGACATCCCGAGGAATCCAGTCACTAACGGCTCTTGTCCATCAGTTGTCATTCATACGCATTACGTGTCCGGCCCACCTTATCCTCAACTGTTCGGCGTACAGAACGGCATCTTTGATTTTTGTTCGTTAACGCAGATGGCATCGTCTTTTCGACTGCGCGTTCGATAACGCTGAGTGACCTTTCATCCTGCTTACACAGCGACCAGGTTTCTGACGCATACGTTAGGACAGGAACCACCGTTGAGTCGAAAAGGTGGGCACGGAGTTGGATGTTCTTTGCTCTCTTAAGTACATCCTCGATCCTCTTAAAAATTTCCCAGGCCGCTCGTTTTCTTCTGCTCAGCTCTGGAGCTAGATCGTTCGTCATATTGACTTCCCGACCTAAATAGATCTAACTGGAGCATTCGGAGATATGCGTTCCGTTGGTCGCGAATGGGCGATGCGAAACCAATCCGTTCTTCATGAACATCGTTTTTGTGAGATTTAGTCCAAGACCAATCTTTCCGCAGGCTTTATCAAAGTCGTCAAGCATACGTTCCGCTTGGCTAATGTTTGTTCTTATAAGGGCGATGTCATCAGCAAAGCGAAAATGGTGTAACTGCCGACCATCGATTTTCATTCCCATATTGTCCCATTCCAATGTTCGCATGAGGTTCTGTAGGGTGGCGGTAAATAGTTTTGGCGAGACGGTATCGCCTTGTCTAAGTCCTCTTTTGACGTCAGTGTTAATATCTCTGTAGAATGGTGATATTTTTGTTGTGAAATTCTTGTTTAGCTCGCGAAGAATCTTTATGTACTGAGTAGGGACTCCTTTCAAATGCCTTCTGTAAATCGATGAAAGTGAGACAGAGCGGTCTTTTCTACTTTCGCAATACTTCAGTGAGCCGTGTAACCGTGTGGATGTGGTCTATCTAATTAAAACATTTTCGAAACCCTGCTTACTCACATGGCTGTCCTTCGTCCAGTGTTCTGTCAATCTTGTTTACGATGACTCGAGTGAGAACTTTGTAGACCACAGACAGCAAGCAGATTGGGCGATAGTTGCCGGTATCGTGCAGGTCACCCTTCTTGAACAATAACACGGTCTCGCTGGTCTTCCACTGAGTAGGCACCTTGTATTCAGACAGGGTAACGTGTGAAGAGCCGAGCCAATGTGTTTAAGAGGATTGGCGGAAGGTTCTTCAGGTGTTGGGTTTTATCTTGTCCGGACCTGGTACTGTTCGATTTTTCACCGACGAAATGGCATGTCGGCATTCGGAAGGGAGAACCGGTGGTACAACATATCCGTCCTCCTTTATTTCATATGATGGAAGGTGGACGTGGCTATCGAAGAGATCCGAGTAGTATTCGTGAGTAATTTTCTCCATTGCCTTTTGTAGTGGTTCTGGCACTTCGGTTTTTGAATTTAATGGCTTTTTCTCCTTTCCGCGAGAAATAAAATCCTGTACGAAGGAGACAGTGGTCTGATCCCGTGTAGAATTTTGGGGCAACAGCGTCATCGGTCAGGCAAAACCTTCTATTTACTATAACGTGGTCTATTTCGTTATGGTATTCTCAATTGGGAGACTCCCACGTCCAGTGCTGATGGTGAGGCTTCTGGAATTGCGAGTTACCATGGATTGTCTTGTTCGCCATGATAAACTCAGACAGCCGCTCATCCTGTTCGTTCCATTCTGATCCGTCGGTCTCTATGTGAGGTTCTTCAGACTTTCTTTTTGGTCCAATCTTGGTGTTTAAATCTCCAATTATGACCTTGAAGAATGTATGGCCTTCTTTGCAGAACTTCTCTAAGTCCATATCAGATTGCTTCGACTTCTTCTTCGTCATAGCTCGATGTCGGCGCGTAAACGACAAAGATTGTCAAGGCCGGTATTTATCCACATCTTTTTAATGGTAAACGTCCTATTCGGGTTGTAAGCTGTTCGAATGAATCAATGTTCAAGGACAAACTCGTGTTGACGAGAACACCGATGCCGCTGACTCCTCTACTGTCGCATGTTCCGAGGAACAGGTTCTTCTCTGGTGTCATAGAAGGCGTTGAAAGGCCGGCTTCTTCTCGTCTCGTCCAGGCCGATGACATCGTACCTTATCTTTTTTGCTTTCATGAGCAAGACTTCTATCGAAAAATCGGATGCAAGTGTACGTTTATTGTAGGTACAGATTATTTCTCGCGGAAAGGAGAAAAAGCCATTAAATTCAAAAACCGAAGTGCCAGAACCACTACAAAAGGCAATGGAGAAAATTACTCACGAATACTACTCGGATTTCTTCGATAGCCACGTCCACCTTCCATCATATGAAATAAAGGAGGACGGATATGTTGTACCACCGTTTGGTGGACGGCTAGATTATATAGGAATACCAAGTAGTTAAGATGATTCGGTCGGAGTTTGCTGCTCGCCTTTGTGTA